TTTTTAACGAGGCAGCAAGTGTAATATAACTAGCGTGTACGATGTACTCTTTTCTCCTATCCTTTTCTCCTACTGGGTTTTTGGATGGAGTTTTTAATGAGACATGTGTATAGCATGGTATTCACCCAAGGGGGAGTGTTATGAAACTATTATCTCCTGCTAGAGATAAATATGGGCTCATACCAAATATATGGAAACGTATCCTAATAGGACTCTTCCTATTATGGGTATATATATTGAGAGAGAGGGCTTGAGAGGTTGGTTGATGTATCCACATCTGAGAAAGCAATAAAGCTGTGATGCCTCTCCCTATATCCGTGTTCATTGTTCATCTACTATATGATTGTGTGCATGAGATCGTCGTCTTCTACTCCGGATCAGCGAGCTAGGCCACTACTTATTCAATAGTTATAAGTGGCTATGCCAGCCTGCAGATATCGCAAGAGAAAGTTTGACTATGCATAACTGGTTGCTAGCTTCAAAAATTAACATGACATTTATAGTTAATTTAATAGTTTACTCACATATATAATAGCTATAAATATATACTACATTATTAATATCTAACCCACCGAGCCCTAGGACTGATGAGGACATCCTCCACTATTACCCGCTGGCAAAGACGCAAAAGGCGGGCGGTGACAGTGTGAGCCTCTGAATAATCCCACCTTGCTTAGCTTGGGAGGAGGAAGCCACCTTAAAAGGGAGAGCCACCCTTCCCCTATTGGACTAGTCTTTTAGGGAGATTGGGCATTTTCCCGAGTGGGTGTGTCTATGAACTGTTGGGGTCCGGGCAACCTTAAGTTATTGGACCTCAGCCAACCCCACTTGGGCCGGATTGTTATCAAGGACGATGGCGGTGTCTTCGACGTTGCGATCTTCCTAGAGACGTCGTTTCCGAACAATAATTTCCAACCAATCTCTTGTGCAGACTTTTGTCCTCTCCAATCTCTTGTGCAGACTTTTGTCCTCTTGCGGTGGTGCTTCTGACTGCCACAAGATGACCATGTTGACGTCTGCGTGTGTGGGAGAATGGATCCATCTTCTCTCTCGCCCTTTCCCTCTCCAACCCAAAGACATGGATGAAGTCGAGTGTAGTTGGGATCTGTTTGTTCTTGGGGGTTCTTTTTGTCTAGGCGTGTGGTGTGGCTGTTTTTTTTTTCATTTGTAGGGGTTCTTTTTACCGTAGACGTGTGTGTGGTTGTTTTTTTTTCTTTCCTGATTATAGCCTCATAAAGCTATATATGGTCTTTTTTTCAACTAATCAATATAAAACCGCGCACTATCTTGTGTGGTTCGTTTTTTAAAAAAAGAACATCTGGACTACCAAACGTGTATAGTCTCTTAGCGCCGCTTACTAATTTTGTTGCACTTAGCTCTTATGTTTGTGATATATATGACGGGTTTTGATCTGATGAGAGTATGTTGTTTTGGTATCAACGTGTTTGTGCCAACGGGATAAGCCCAGTGAAAAAGTGTACTAATCTACGCAAAGTAGATGACCCTTTTTTTACAATGCTTTAGCTACGCAAAGTACTCAATCTAATATAAATTACTTATTGTCCGAAAGGAAAGAAAACTTAATGAACTTGTCAAATAGTAGTATAATTTACTATCGTATTTCATATTATAAGTTGTTTTAACTTTTTTTAAGTAAAACTTCTTTATATTTGACCAATCTTATAAAACAAGCAACAAACATATAGTAACTTTTTCAACATAAAACAAATATATTATTAAAATATATTAAACTTAATTAGATTTAATGAAATTAATTTAGTGTTTTAAGTGTTGCTAGTTTTTTCAAACTTAATTAAACTTAACAAATTTTAACTAAAGGTGACTTATAATATGAAAATTGAGGAAGTATTTAGTTTTAAACACAACTTTCGTGAGCTAACTGTAAAGTGTGTATACTTTACGTCGCTCTCATACAATGCATTTATCTAGGTCTTAGTAGTAGACATTTGAATTTTTGTAGAACCTGTTGGAGTCATTTAATGATTTGTACATTAAACAACGGTGTCTCAGATAGCTAGGCAAAATTGTCGTGCAACCATGCATAGTTGAGAACTTATGTTAAATATACTTCTAAAATAATTTTATGATAGTTTTATATTTAAATCAAACATCGGTGTTGCAAACCTATGTAAACGGTGATAAGGGATATATAATGCTATCTAGCATTTCATAAGTTGGAACATAACTTATATAATTATAAAAAGAGGTAAATGTGTTTAGGGAGTAAACTAAGTAATTAAGCCATTGTAGGAGGGTAAAGAAAGAAAAAGAACCTTATCTTAATTTGTGTGTATGCACAATTCTAATTCTAGTATCGGATGGGATAAGTATACAATAAAAAATATTTGTTACTGATGTGGATAATATTTTATTGCCAGTAGCTAGAATGTGTCCTATTGAACTTTAATTTCTCTTATGACTGAAAAACATTGTATTTTTCTTGCTTGGCAAGCCTTAGCTAACAAAATTAATTAATTAATTAGCTAGCTAGTCAACCAGAGCACGATCTTCTCTCTCGGAAGAGAGAAATAGTACTCCCTCCATATTTTAATGTATGACGCCGTTAATTTTTTTGATAAATATTTGACCTTTCGTCTTATATAAAAAAATTATGTAATTATAATTTATTTTATTGTGACTTGATTTATCATCGAATGTTCTTTAAGCATGACATAAGTATTTTTATATTTACATAAAAATTTTGAATAAGACGAGTGGTCAAACGTTGGTTAAAAAGTCAACGGCGTTATACTGTATACGGAGGGAGTATTAATTAACCATCCAACCTCGATCAGTCGGCAGCTGGTCAACATGCCAAGATCCAGCTTCCCCGGCCGCGCGCGGTCAATTCAACTCCCAAGTCCCAACCACGCGCGCAAATTCCCAAGTCCCAAAGCTACAATTAACGAACTCTCATCATCATCGGAAAACGCCACGTACGCATGCATATTCGTCATCCAAGACGGTCACAACCACTGATATGCAACATTGCAACGACGACGACGACTTCTGCAGATCACACAACGTACTGTATATGCTTTGCTCGTCGTCCTGTGAGCGGCCGGCGGCCGGCCAAGCTCGCCGGCGCCGCTGCTTTCTTGAATTGCCGTATAGCTGAGATGTTTTGCCGACTGATGGCTTATGTGTCTCCAAGTCGAGTACTATTAGCAGCTGCCGGTTGTTTTTGAACGGTTCTAACTCTTCGCCCTGAAGGATTTGGCACCGGCAGATGTACAGTTTTTCTCTTTATTTCACACCTGAACAGTCATGTGTATTTTTACACGCACATGCGTGTGTGTGTGTTTTATGATCAGGTTTTACCCTTTCCAACGTCAACGTCCATTTAGAGATGTTATGGTCCTCGTTCTCTCCGTGATGAATTCTCTCATTAGAGACTAGCTAAGATGGTTGCAATTGCTTCTCCATAACGAATCAAATGAAGGGAGAGAAGTGTCCCAATCGGGTCTCTGGCGGGAGCAGGGATGGCCCTCCATCCCCTATCCCAATTCTTTGCAGAGACGACCCAATTAGGGTCAAAATCCAATGCAAAGTTTTACATTCGTAAAGATTCAAACCGAGCCATGATCAGTATAACGGATGAATGATAACCTTGTGTCTCTTGCCATATGGATTAATTAGTGGGTATATAATAATTTATTAATATATAAAGTGTGGATGATATGTGTATATATTAAAGATATTGATATTTGAGATATAAATGATGTTTTAAATGAGGACGTGGGCCTAGTGAACATTTTTAATTCCCCGTGCTGGTCGGGAGGTAAAAATGTTCCACGTTGCAGTTGGCAAGATGGGGACCAGAAAATTTCTAGCCCATAAAGATTGGGATTTGGATATATTTTCTCGTGTAAAATTCCCCGCTGCCATCCCTACACCATTCACGCTAGCTATATATGCGTGTGGGTAATTGCAGTTAAACCTTTGGGTTGGCATCAAAATTGGATATTAGAATTAACGCGATGCTCTATTTTTTTTAAGTCAAACATGGAGAAATCAGGTTGGTGTTTATATGACAAAATTCATAAATATTTTTTTAGGGGAGCATATATATAAATATTGTGTTTGAATCAAACTTATATGGTTAATAAGTTGCAATGGCTTAATAGATTTAATTAATTGAAGGATAATCGAACCGTGCCTCCTCTGTTTCCATCTTTTTTTTTTCATTTCAATATAGAAAAAATATATTTACCACATACTATCACAAATTTTTTTGACATAACTATAAAAAGATATTTTTGACAAAAATATCACAACATTACATATTTAAAGTCATTCTATCATAAAACAATATAGTTAATGTTAAACTTATCACAAAACAACATATTTAATGAACGGTATTGCAAAAATATATATTTATTTTATTATCAAGGTGATGCAGAGGATGGAACCTCCACAATACTTAGTTTTGCGATAAACCTAATATTGTGACTTAAATTCAGTGTTTAAATATATAAATTTGAGATATAGCAGCTTAAATTCATAAGTTTTTATTCTACAATTATGTGGTTTAACAATGCAAAGACCGACATTGTCCAAGATATGCATACCAAGTTGTGTACGATATACCATCCCCTCTCCTTACATATAAAAATACCATGCATTTACTCCATAATTTCCACAACTTGCACAAACCAAATTTAAAATCACCAACTGACAAGAAAAATTCAACAGTGTGTACTTGCCAGACAGAAGGAAAAAAACCCACACCTTTTCGCAGACTCACAGAAAAAAAAAAGGGAATTAATTGCATGTGACAAATACGCAAAGCAAAGCGTAAAGTGACAGGTAGTAGTAATTCGATGGTTTCCATCACCGTCCTCACACACAAATTTCAAAAAAAAAAAAGATAAAAAGGGATATATCCTTTGACCGGTCAAACCTCGCGACTTCTTCTTCCACCTCTCGCTCCGGGCAACTATATATATGCCCTACCGCGCGCGAACGCCACAAATAGCAACCAAGAAACCAAACTAACCCTACCCTTGCTGCGCTGCCCATTTCCGTCGCCGCTGTCGTTGATATCTCCGGCGATGCTCTGCGGCGTCGAGATCCTCTGCTCCGTCGTCGCCGTCGTCGCGCGCGTGCTCGGCAGGGCGCTCATGACAATCTGCTCGCCCAAGTTCTCCACCGCCGGGCTCATCGGCTCGCCGACGACGGCGTGGGGCGGCGGCGGAGCCAAGAAGAAGGTGCACATGGAGAGCGAGAAGCAGCAGCTGCCGCCGCCGCCGTCGCCGCCGGCGCTGGTGCTCCCGGCGTTCAAGAGGAATTGCACCGACCAGGAGCAGAGGGCGCCGGCGACGTCGACAAAGGCGGCGAGGGGGAGGCCGCCGAGGCTGGTCATTCCGGCTGCGGCGCCGGTGGCGGTGGCGCGCGGCGGCGTGGACCCGTTCGGCGGGAGGGAGACGGACGTGGCGACGGAGACGGAGGTGAAGGGGGAGGGGTTCTGCCTGGCGAGCAGGAGAGGGGTCAGGCATGCAATGGAGGATGGATATGGGGTGATCACTCGTCACAAGATTGAAGGAGGCTCCCAATTGGTAAATTTATGTCTAATTAATTTGCTCAAAAAATTAGGATCAAACTAATTTGAATGTTGGAAATTTTGGGGGGCGATTATAAAATGAATTAAGAGACAAAGAGGTATGAAGATAGATCAAGGTGGTATGAATGATAGTAGATAATATGGATAAACATAATTTCTTCAGATATATGGTGCTTCTATGATCCCAACAAAGCTAAGTTGCACAAATCTCCAAGCGTTTTTGTTCTGGTGTATTACAAATCAAGCAATTAGCGTGGCTATACAACAGTTTTACTTATTGAAATGCTTAAAATAGAACAGAAATTTGTATGGATTATTTGCCGTCTTCTGATCTTCCTAAAAGGATAATTCAAGGTCCATAAACTAACGAAGGATTAGTACTCTTCACAGAGACAAAATACACTAGTATAACTATTTTGAATCAACACACTTTTATTATATATAGTGATTCCATAATCTAATCAAAACCAAAATTGCACAAACCTAGCTAAAACAAATATTTTTCAGGGCTCGATCTGGTCCTGACAAAATAGAATTTCAAGCTTGTAAAGGCAAAAGGGTAACTATTTGGGGGGAAAGAGTATATGTTTGGCATGCTTACAAAATTTGAAGTAACTACAATTCTTAAAAACACTATCAAAATTTTTGTAGACCATGTGTTTATTATCTTGCCTAAATTAAGGAGAATTTGTAGTCTGTAAACTAATGTAATAATTGTTCCTAACTGTTTTGAATCAACACACTTCAAGGCTTCAAGCTATATCAAAGTGATCAACAATGATTTAGGCACTCTCCGTAGTACAATACTACAATATATTAGTAACCCTGTTCTTTCTTACATGGCGTATTGTCAGCATCAGGCTCTTCCATTAATATGTAGTGATTTCATGATCTGATCAAAACCAAATGCCACAAATTAACCTAAAACCGAGATTGTTATTGAATATTTTCTAGGGCTCATGATATTGACAAAGATATCATTTCAAGCTTGTAACTAGGCACCATGATAATATTATTTATAGAAATATAACGCTAATACTTAATTCTTATTTATATCTATTTAAATCAGTGCACTTGAATATTTTCCAGAGCTCTGTCTCTGTGCATTGAAAATCAACTATAAAAGATATAACATGCATGGCTTTCTATTACTCATAAGCAATTCTACTTGTTGCAGCAAATTTATATGAAGTACATATATACACATTCAAAATATTTTGTATAACTTCCCTTGATAAGGACATTCATATTCTAACCTAAATACTAAGACCTACAATTTGCCATAAACAACAACAATATATATATATATATATATATATATATATAAGACAGATAGAGGAAAACTTGTGGGCTCACAAAAAAATGGGATAGCATGGGCAACACGTTCATCGACCCACATGCAACGCACGCTGATTCCAGACAAGAATCTTTTTTTTTTAATAAAACGACGCATTTTACCAGGTCTCCATTTTGCTTAGCCACGAAACTTCCAAAAGTGCATCATTTGTTTCAAGAAGCATATATACACAATAACGCATAACGTGTTGATCAAACCTTCAAGCAGCAACAACTTGGTTCGAGACGTTCACATTATTAATTAGTTTCAATATTTTTCGTCAGTACACAATTAAGAGTAATAATGAGCATCGGTTAAGTAATCAAAATACAGCAGTACTACACACGCAGAGCCACAGCCACTAATTGAGACTCTCATGATCTGTACGTCTGATTTTGCAGGCGTTCTACGGTGTGTACGACGGGCATGGCGGCCGGGCCGCCGTGGACTTCGTCGCCGACAAGCTCGGCAAGAATGTCGTCACCGCCGCCGCCGCGGCGACGACGATGAGCCGACATCAAGCAGCTGGCTCATCATCGCCGTCGCAGCAACGTCGAGAAGAAGAGGACGATGTCACGGCGGCGATCAGGGCTGCGTACCTGACCACGGACAGCGAGTTCCTGAGCCAGGTATATTAGTCAACTACAGTTACTGTTCCGTACGTTGTAAGTCATTATTTTAGTTTTGTGATAAACCAAACTATAAAAAAGAATCATCATCATCTATAGTAACATATATCAAGATATAAATGATAGTGGATTATATTTGATAAAATTAATTTGACCTGTTGTATATGTTAGTTGCTTATAAAAGATCTTTTATAAATAAACTTGATAAAGTTAAGTTTAACTTTTGATAAATGTAAAATGGCTTACTGTGTAGGGAACAGAACGGAGCGACTGAATGACGTCTAGCTGCTTGATTGCATAATGTGCACATGCATGCATGTCAACACTATATTAATCTTAATTAGAAATTAACATGCAACTGTACCTGTACCAATAATATACGCGATGCAACAGCGACATACAACTGCGCTGCTGCTGCTGCCGCTATTGTTGATTAATTAGTTGGCGATTTATTAATCGGCTTGACTAGGTCTTGCATGAATTAGCAGATGAACTTTGAACGGTTCAAAACCTGCTATCATTTTTAGCTGTCTGTTTGTGAGGCAGGTTTGATGCCGATGGTGTTGATGGCCACGTTACGCATGCCCTCACGTACTGCAACTTTTAATTTTATCCGTAATCCGGTCCAGATTAATTGAGTTCCGTTGCCGTGTTGCTTCTGGTGTGGCCGACATCGACCGATAGCTATATCTTGTTTTATGAACGACGATAGCTATATCTTGTGATTATCAAGGGAGGGACTACCTATATAGTATTAGACAGTTTTTTAAAAAATAGTTTTAAATAATAATTATATTGTGTAATTATATTATAGCTATATAACTTTGTGTATTATATGCATATATATAGTTGACATGCTAAAATTAAAAGTATTTTATTTCGGTACTAGTACAACTAAAAGCACATATATATTAATTAGTACAAAAGAAATGTGCAACTAACGTACTTCGTTTTGATGATATTAATTAATTATTAATTAGCTAATGTTGATGTACATTATTGCTTGTTGTGTAGGGTGTACGCGGCGGCGCGTGCGCGGCGACGGCGCTGGTGAAGGACGGTGAGCTCTACGTGTCCAACGTCGGCGACTGCCGCGCCGTCCTCGGCAGCCGCGGCGGCGTGGCCACCGCCCTCACCTCCGACCATACCCCCGGCCGCGAGGACGAGCGCCTCCGCATCGAGAGCACGGTACACAACTATATATCATGCATGGTTCTTGCAAGATTTTCAATGGCTTCCGTCCGCCATGATCGCGCGTGAGCTCGATTTAGGTTTTATTTAGGGAGCTTCTAACTACTGCAGTTTCTCCTAAAATTAAAAGCTCCCAAACAGTCCATCTTTTAGTACAGATTCTAAGAAACTCTAGTTGTAGAATCTAGAAAATGAACTAGAAGGCAGAAGCCGAGAAACCAAGCTTTTCCCAATTCTGATAAGCTAACTACTAGCCAACTATTTCTTAGAATTTTAAGAATTTTAAGCTCCCAAACAAGCACTTAGTCGTCGCTGTTGCCGATCAATTAATGTATGTGCGATGCATTTCAGGGCGGGTACGTGAGCTGCGGCGGCAGCGGGGTGTGGCGCGTGCAGGACAGCCTCGCCGTGTCGCGCGCGTTCGGCGACGCCGGCGTGAAGCAGTGGGTGACGTGCGAGCCGGAGACGGCGCGCGTCAGCCTCGCCGCCGACGGCGACTGCCGCTTCCTCGTCCTCGCCTCCGACGGCCTCTGGTGCAAGGTGTCCAACCAGGAGGCGGTCGACGCCGTCGCCGCCGCCGCCGCCGCCGCCGCCGGCGTGGCCGGCAGCACGGACCCGTGCAAGGAGCTGGCCGCCATGGCGAGGAGCAGAGGGAGCCGGGATGACATCACCGTCATGGTCGTCGACCTGCAACCATTCTTGCCGGTATAGAGCCGGCAAACGTGCATACCGTACGAAACAATTTTGATGTGATTTTTGTTTTAGAAGTTATACTACGAAAAGATATATATCCGATTTTGTCTTTCTTTTTTTTTCTCACTTCAGTTGCACTTAGAAGTTGTAACTTGTACATGTGTTTGTAACTTGTAAGTGGTTTTTGAAGTGAGCTTGCTAGGTAGATGCATAAGAGATTATACAAGAGTGACTGTAATTTCTTTCTTACTTATATAAAGGGGGCTTACGCATGCACACCATCACAAAATGTTCATGATTGTGTTTATTTTAATTTAACATTGCCCAAAAGACAGAGGCTGATAATAAATATGTAAAACCTCATTAAATTCGAAAACACACTCATGTATGTGTAGTGGTGGATATAACGCTACTCAGGTACTCACTGATCTGGCTGCTAAAAAGCTACTTCCTCCGTTTCATATTATAAAACTTTTTAGCATTGCCCACATTTATATATGTTAATGAATCTATACACATATATAGCTCATTAACTATTTTTTCTATACCAACATGGCTATTTTATTGTATAAATAGTTTTTGCAACTTACAAGCTTATTGAATTACTGGAATTTAGGGAAAATATAATAAAACCATTTATTTTAGATAATATGATAAACCCCAACCAGCTCTATCTCCAACATGGTGTATATGGGCCAAAATATTTTTTAGATAATAGATAAAATCCAGCATTTGCTATCGCCACTTATTACATATGTATGGTTTAGAAACTGTGCATAATAGTATCTAACAAAAGATAAAGAGAAGACACGTTATAAAGCCACAAAAGAAAGGAAGAAATACAATTTATTTAAAGAGCAATTATATTAGTAAATCTCCAATTAAAATTGATGAAAATTTATATAACCGTCGATCGTCTCTAAGTTCCGGCATACAACATTAATAAAATCTGTATCCTATATATACATTTGTACTGGGGCCCAAAACAAAATATAGTTAAACAATTCATAAATGCATTCAAGCACCAGTACATCCTCATCTGTTGAGCCCAACTGAGAAAATCCACTCTTAGAGGTCGAATTTTTTTTTTATGAATGTGCAAGAGATTTGCCTGAGAATTCAATTGTGGGCCGCAGGATTTTTACCTGAACCCTTTTCAATAAACTACATAAATAAAGTATATAATACATGAACAATTCTATTAATTGAAAAAAAGTGAGAATAGAAATCATAACCAAATTACTCAAATAAAAATAATATCAAGAGGGTGAATCCTGGAGTATGGAAGATAATTACCCTCATAGTTTAGCCTTTTATAAGCATAAGAGAAAATTTAAATTTAAAAACATAATTTTAGAGTTGATTTGAAGTTTTTTTTGTCACGGTTTATTTTCTAGCATTTGCTTTTAAATCGTTGCACTTGTATAAAAATTTTACCATAAATTATTTTTTTAATTATTAATAAGTAGTTTTGATGGGTTGGACTGGAAAGTGGAGAAGCAGGTTGCTCAAGGCAGGGGAATAAGTATAATGTTGTCTGAGAAGTTGAGAGTGGAGTTTGCAGGGTAAACTAGTTATAGGTTCGTGCAATGCAACAGTTTGTTAATTCTGTTTAGTGAAAGGACTTGAACAGGGTGGGGGTTGATTGGTTTTTTAAACTATGGTCGTTTTCTAGATATCAGTTTTTATGAGAGGAAAGCGGTTTTTAGAAGGTTTTAAGTAATAGGGATTTAATCGTTAATAAGCCGTTTGGATGGATTGGACTGGACAAGTGGAGGAGCATGTCGTTCGAAGCAGGGGAGTGGAGAGCTGACAGTACCCACGAGCAGCAGCACGCTGGAAGGGGAAAAAAAGGAGAAAGAGAAGCAGCACATAGGCCATGGCCAGCAGCAGCACCTGGAGTGGGGGGTTGAGGGTTCAAGATTTCCAGTATTGCGGTTAAGGATGTGATTCAAACTCGACGTCGTCGATATAAGAGATCTAAAGACAATTTATTCTGAAATTATATGACCAAATTAAAGTGGACCACCCTAAAAAAATAAGGTGGACCAAATCATTTTCCCAGCCTGTTAGTCGCCTCAGTCCATTTCCACTAATTGAAATCGGAATAAGTTCACCGCCCGTCCCTCAACCACAAAATTAGAAATCTCTACCCCTAAATTATACAAAACCGTTCACTCAAAGTCCCTAGGCAGTATATATGGGTGGTTTTGCTGACGTGACATCCTAATCAGAAAAATAATTAAAATTAATATGTGGGGCCACATGTAAATGAGAGGAAATGGTGCGTGCCCACATTTATCCCTTCTTTTCTCTCTTTTCCTCTCCTGATTCTCTCGACGGCGCCACGGCGGCGGGAGAGGAGAAATGGCGGCCGGCGCGACGGCGAGCTTGGCGGCAGAGAGGAGCAGCGCGTGGCGCACCGGCGGGGGAGAGGAGCGGCGCGCGGCGTGGCGGCGAGGGTGGCGGCGGGCACAGCGGCGGGCGCGGATGAGCGCCAGATGCGGCTGTCGTGGTGGCCGGCGGTAGCTGCGATGTGGTCGGCGCCGGCGGAGAGGAAGGGGATGGGGAGGCCAGTGAGCAGGGCGGGGATTCCGTCGAGGAGGTCGGCGAGCGCTTGGAGAGGGAGGAGGCGGGCGCCGCGCCGCGCGCCACTCCTCTCCTCTCTCCTGCCGCCAGCCCGCCATTGTCGCGCTGGCCGAGCTCGCCGTCGCGCTGACCGCCTCCTCTCCTTTCCCGCAGCCTCCGCCGCCGCGCCGCGTTGGCCAAGCTCGCCGTCGCGCCGACCGCCTCCTCTCATCCTCGTGCAGCACCTTCTCCATGTCCAGCGCCTCGGCCGCGGCGCCAGCATCGTCGTCGTCAGGCGTCGGGATGAACGGCGGAAGAAGGCGTGCCGCTTCACGCCGTGGGCGCAGAGCCGCCTGCCCGGGTCCTTCTCCAGGAGGAGGCCGATGAGGTCGCGCAGCGGCGTCGGCTTGCCGCTCTCCCGCCGGCTCCGTCTCCGGAACGGCGTGCGCCCGTACAACATCTCGTACAGCACCACGCCGAGGCCCCACCAGTCGACGGCGTAGTCGTGCCTGCTCCCAGCCACGATCTCCGGCACCACGTAGTCCTCTGTCCCCACGAACGAGTTCGACTTCGCCGCCGACGAGCAGCACGTGGACGACGAGGAGGACGAGGCCATCCTGGACGCGGACCCGCCGTCGCGCTCGCCCGCCGCCCGCCCATCGCCCATGGCCGCCTGCCCATCGCGCTCACTCGAAGAAGAAGAAGAGAAAGAGAAGAGAAGAAAAGAAAAGAAAAAACGATGTGTAACTGATATGTGGGTCCCACGTACTTTTTTTAATTTTTTTTTGCTGAATAGGATGCCACGTCAGCGAAACCACCCACATATACTGCCATGAGACCTTCTTTGAACGGTTTGTGTGAGTTTAGGGTATACATTTTTTGTTTTGTGGTTTAGGGACCTCAAAAAATCTCGCTGTTAAGTTGAGGGTCCTCGGGTGAACTTATTCCATTGAAATCTGATCCAATTGGAAAATCCAAACCATTCGGCCCATTTAGCCCAAACCAAGACTACTACTGTCATCTACGGCCAAGTGGATGTACACTGTACTGTTCATATTGCCCTACCAAATAATTATTGACTAATCTAAACCAATCCAAAAGGGCAGGAGAAAAAAAAATGTCAGCATCTTGCTAAGAGAGAATCTTCTATAGTTTGTGCTTGGAATATCCCCTACCTGCCACATCTGTTCCCTCGCTCATGTCTCCTCCAAAGCCTTTTGATTAGATATCCATTATGAAATTCGAGCATTTCTAGTTGCTATCATCACTAATGATAAGGTCACCGATAATTAATTTCCTTTGATGAAACTGGTTCCAGATGCTCTCAATTTCTCCTTTAATGAAAAGAAAAACTACATGTCGCTGTCCCAAATGTTCTATGGATTGGATTCTTCCATGTCGTACCTATTGTGATGACTTTGACCTAATCTAATCATAAACCCGTCCTATTAGAGCCACAAAAATGTGAAAATAAAATGTTTTTATCAGTATCATAATTTCCAATTAGGTCGTCACATATATTTTCACCGTAGAAGTTCAGCTAGCTTAGTCCAACAAAGCAAAGAAAACAAAGGTGGCGTGCATTTGTAAACTACCACGGAGATAACTACTTCCCCATTAGTAAACGACACGCTAATTAAATTAATTAATTAATTAATGCGCTCTTTACCTAACTTTTTGGATTTGTTTACCAAGCTAATCTATCTTAAATTCTTAAATCACCTGTACTAAATTTCTCCAGAAAAATATCACTAAGCTACAAAGACACAGCCCTTTGGAGTTGTTTACTAAGTTAATCTCATCTTAAATTCTTGGTTGTGTTCGTTATTCCAGATTGGGAACTTATCCCTTTCCATGACAAACATAATGACTCGTTAGAACATAAGTATTAAGTATGAAAAGTTTGAAAAGCAACTTTATTGTAGAAAATTTGTTAAAAAAAGTATAGTTTTGTTGTTCGAAAAACGTGTGCGTGGAAAACGAAGATTAAAGGTTGATAAAAGGCCTATTTAGATCTCGGCAAAACTTTTCACCTTGTCACATAGAATATTTGGATACATGTATAGAGTATTAAATATAGGAAAAAAAATTAATTACACAGATTGCGTGTAAATTACGAGACGAATCTTTTAAACCTAATTGCTCCATGATTTGACAACGTAGTGTCTCGCTGTTTACAGATGGATTCTATAATTTGTTTTATTATTAGTCTACATTTAATACTTTAAATGTGTGTCCGTATATCTGATTTGACACGCTAAAACTTTTTGCCACTTAATCTAATCACAGCTAAAGATGAGAAACGAACTCAGCTAATCACTCATACTAAATTTCTCTCTCAAAATAAATCGCTAAGCTATACAAAGAGACAAGAACCCTTCTAAGCAAAGCAGCCAGCTAGGAGGAGGAGAAAACCCAATCAAAATCAACCCACGAGCTCTTCCTCCCACCTCCATGGCCGCCACCCACCCCCTCCTCCTCCTCCTCCTCGCCGCCGCCGCCGTCGTCGTCCTCGTCGTAGCGGCGACACCGGCGGCGGCGAGCGGCAACGGGACGTCGACGCCGACGGCGTACGAGATGCTGGAGAGGTACGACTTCCCGCGGGGGATCCTGCCGGTGGGGGTGGAGGGGTACGAGCTCCGGGAGGACGGGAGCTTCGAGGTGTACTTCCCGCGGGACTGCGAGTTCATGCTGGCGAGGACGTGGCTGGTCCGGTACGGCGCCCGCATCGCCGGCGCCGCCGCCTCCGGCCGGCTCACGTCGCTCCAGGGCGTCTACGTCAAGGTGCTCTTCGTCTGGCTCCCCGTCGGCGAGGTCGACCGCTCCGGCGACACTCTCAGCTTCTACATCGGCCCCGTCTCCACCTCCTTCCCCCTCTCCGACTTCGCCCACAGCCCGCACTGCCGCGGTTACGACCACCTCCCCGCCGCCGCCGCCGCCGCCGCTGCCGCCTTGTGATTGGGTAGAGATGGGTAGTTCATTAATTAATCTGGGTGATTTGGCTGGGGTAATTACGTGTAATTAATCACAGGTGCTCCTGGTTGATTGGCTATTGATGCGAATGGAATTTACGCCACTATGGGATTTATTTTGAGTATATCATTTGGTGGCTTCTTTATGAACAAGTGTTGGATGCAGATGCTGTTTGTTTGTCTGGGGTTTTTTTTTTCCTTGGTTTTTTTGGTAGAGATTGATCATTGGGCTTGTCACATTCGACCATTTCTTCCGTTTGCTCTTTGGATTTCATTTCGATTCCATGCCATTCAGATAAGAGGTAAACAACAGATAAGTGTACTGTGATTGAATGGAAAATGCAGTGAGCTCCTCATCTGCTCAAGGTTATTTGACGGTGCGGGGTGAAAGAGCTGTGATTGGTTGAGAAGAGATGTGATTGGTTGAGAAGAGAAATTAGATGATGCATTTGAATGGTCGAAGATGGTAATTGATTGAGAAGAGAATTTAGACGATAAAGTTGTTATATTTTGAAACAAATTTCAAATGGGAAGTTGTCATAGTTTGTTTCTGTTAGCATCCAAAGCTCTATATTCTGTTTTTAGAATTTCACCAAATAACACTTCCAAATAGCAGGTGTAAAACAAATTTCCAGTTTTCCGATGCCATGGCGTTCAGAGATGAGAATATGCAAGGAGCACCTCATTTTCACTCACAAGGTTATTTTGGGTGGTCAACACAAGAAAACTGTCTTTGGATGATTCCTGATTGGGTACGTTGTTTTTAACTTCTATAATAGCACAAGAAATATCAGTTCACTTTAGTAGCTGCAAATAAAGTTGCTTCCATTAAAAGCAACAAGAACTAGATCCAGTTAGCGGCTAATCTCACATACAAACTCTAAACTTCCTCATTTTTTTAAGCATGTACTTTAAACTGCTAAATAGTATTTTTTTTCTAAACATTCTATATAGAATATGCTTAAAAATCAAATAAATTTATTTTTCAAGTTTATAATAATTATTATTAATTAATTGGTAATGAGTTTTCTCGTTTTACGTGCACGAATAATCTTTCTTCAAACTCACAAAAGAATGCAGTCTAAGGATACATTATATACTGTACTTTCTCCACTTCTTCTCCCCAACTCACATTTCTGTACTTTATCCACTTCTCTCCGAACACATATTTTCCAATCTGCTAAATGATATATTTTTAAAAAAAATTCATAAGATCGTTGCTTAAAAAATTATATTAATTTATTTTTTAAGTATTTTATCTAATAATACTTAATTAATAATATAATAACACATTGCTTTATTTTACATATTAGGGAGGAAGGGTTCCCAACCTTCCAAAAAAATGTTTCAAAAAAAACTAAGGGGGCAGAAAGAGATTTTCACATGTTTCAGAAAAAAAAAAGAGATTTTCACATGTTCCCAATATGAAACGTAGAGTGATAAATTGGTACTCCCTCCGTTTCAAGTTATAAGACGTTTTGACTTTGTCAAAGTCAAACTTCTCTAAGCTTGACTAATTTTATAGAAAAAAAGTAGTAATATTTTTAACCCAAGACTAATATATTATAAAAATTTATTCAATTATAAATTTAATAAAATTATGTTGGTTCTACTTGAGTTAGTTATTCTTAGAGTAGTTTGACTTTAATCAAAGTAAGACGTCTCGTAAACTGAAACGAAGGGAGTAACATCTACTTTTCCCCTTTCCTTTCTAGGGACCTACCAAGTTATTATCACAAAAAAAAAACAATGTAAAATCTTGTGTATAGACATGGAAACGATGTATTCAACAAGCTGTCTTCCGTGCACAGGAATTTAAGCTGACAGAAACCAAGACGCCGCAACCTTGCTGTATAAAACTGCAGACCACTGGCAGGCTTGGTGTTAACACAGAATGTCCGACTATGCTGCACCGAGTAAACATATACTACAAGAATAATTAGTGACAGAATGTTTTTCTTTGCCCAATTACGCTACAGATATTGAAGATTATATCAAAAACATGCATCTATTATTTGTCACCGTACAGTGGACTTACAAGCAGATCTAACTTTGCACCGAGTATAAATTGAGTACTGAATCTGTTCTTGGTATAGTCTTCTTAATAACTCTTTCAAGCGTGTGCACTGCTGTAAGGAGGGTGTGCTGCAGATTCTGATAGAAAATGGTACACATCACCAGGCCTTGAGCACCCAGAGTCCAGAGAACTAACCCAAAACCAGAAATCTCCAAACATTTGATGACGATACGACCAACATATCTGACAATTGGAAGTGAAAAAGCTTATGTCAATTGTCAATTCTATCATTTGATATTGCGGTATTGCCTGCAACAAATGAAGTTTCCAAGATAATCTCATGACGACTCATATACTGAATTTAGGTGGTGTTTGGGAAGAAGGGACTAAAGTACCTTAGTACTATCTGATGTTCTTAAGGCTTTTATAGAGACCACGTGAATGGAGATGTACAGAATTAGAAAAAGGTGACAGAAAGGTACTATACAGAAAAGGGAAATAACAACATACAATTCATTTCTTCACTCCAAAGATTTGAGCAGCCGGAATAAGCCAGCTGCTTCCCTTATCCGTGAGAACTCAATGCAGAAAGCTTGTACCTCGATGAAGAGGTCTTGAACTGCAAAGAATCATGCACAAAACTTATAAATAAGTAAAAGATTTCAATAAATATAGCATGCAACCAAAGAAAGATAAATGAGGCTGGAATAAACGAGTTAAATGGCTTTAGATGGCTTAAAAACTCTATGAATTACAAATTTCAGCAATCAATTATACCATATTAACACATGTTGCTTCTTTCACTAAATATAGAAAAGAGTTTAATCAAACAAAAACTGAATTTACTTTATGACGATCAATATGAACAGTTGGCAACTTGGTTACTATCAATCCACAAACAATTTAACATACTTGAATGATTCTTTGTGACCACTGTCACAAATCCAAAAAAAAAATCCTAATCATTTACGGTTCACAGACCAAACAGCATATCCACAATCAAGATGAATACTGAGAACCAACTTGAGCAAATTAAAGGATCATTCAAGAAAAAGGGGCACGTCTATGGCTAGTAACAGTGTAACACACAAGAGTTTTCAAAGCAAAGTAATTCCTTGTTTTTTTTCAAAAAATGATGTTTTAGACACATGCACACATTAAGAAAATGCAAAAGTTAACCCCCATATCATATTCATGTAAAATTTGTCTTCTCTTTCTGGTACACTCTTAATCTTATCTTAGTGTTTTTGGAGACGTTATTGTACATTAAGGATAGTAATTAGTGAAGGTAAAGAAATCAAAAGGTTTGTATTATGAACTTTAAAGTATCAGTATTTTGGATCAAGAAAGCAGATATGTAAATGTTTATAATCAACATAATAATCAAATGATAACAGATCAATGACTAAACTGTATATATGAGACAAAAAATGTATCTGTTCCATAGTCCGCACACAACAGTGCACTCACCGTTTATGATCTTGTTTCGGATGAGAGACTGAAGGAAAACACAAACTAGTCTCACCAACCTGTTCTGCATGTATTTATCCTGCACATAATAAAATAATCATACTGAAGGAACTTCAAGAAAGTAACGCATTTAACAAGTGAGGCAGCCACAAAATGCAAATTACCCATCACCCAATGAGCAAAAAAAAAAAAACAAGATACAGTAATAAAATTGTAACATAAGGATTTTTATCAGAGAATAGAGAAACCAGTAGGCAAACAATGCTCTTCCCAACTTAGCAAGCAAGCTACTGGATCAAAGGACTTAACCGAACAAATAGAGGAGATGGCAGTTGATTGGAGCATGCCATTATATAAAGCACATAAATTATTTTGCAACAATCTAAAGCATGCAATAAGATCTGCCAATTGCACGTACATTTACTTACAGGCACCATCACTACACAAGTGCTTCAGTTCACCAAAAAAGTCAGTAAAACAAGTATTTCTACGAGGAAATGCTAAATCTGAACTTATCAAAGAAACAAACAAGCAGAGGCTACATATTTCCATGGAAAACGTAGCCCAGGTTAAATCACCAACTGGATCAAACAGACTGACATAAAGCATTAAACAATCTTTGTTTAACCATCAGCTTGAAGTAAGCCACAAAACTACAGTACCCTGCTAACAAATTCTCCAACAAATTTAATTTGAACGAGCAAAATAACAAACAGACCTTAACGTTCTGACATGATTGGATGCAATTCGAGATGTACTCATGGACAAACTCTGTCGGGAGTTCTACAGCAGTAGTAAGCCTGTTTACAACTTCCATAGAATGCAGGCTCATCTCCATATGCACAAGAACATCTAAGTAACTGAAAAAGAAAAGGGTCACAATTAAAATATATTAAAAAAAAGTGTTGGTGATCATATTGACTAGCAAAGAAAAGAAACAGACATACCCATCAATGTCAGGAGAGTTCATCAATTTCGAAAGAATTTCAACAGCAATGAGTGGATTGTGTTCAACAAGGTCCTAAAACCATGCATAAATTCTCAGATATAAGATATGATGAAATATGGTAAAATAAGTAAACAACATTTTTAGCAACCAAAAACACAACATTTGGCATGGGTGCATACAGGGAGCTTTTGTGGAGTCATCCCGCAATGATACACCAACTTCGAGTCCTTTGCCAGTTCTATTACGACTTGCTGTGAGAAGCTGTGCATTAATTAGGCTTGTACCATATGAAAATATATAGTACCAAAATGTATGCATGTCCATGGGGAAGGGGGTAATGAAAATACTTGTTACCATAAAAGCACCAGCACCTATGCTAAACAAATATATATTATAAAAAAGACAAAACACCAATTAATAGTGCTTATACATTCATGTTTATTAGTGATCCATAGATGCAAGATAGCTAGCATAAATACAAGAATGTAGCAGAGAACCTCTTGTTGGGAAGGTGCAAGTGGACCTTTTAAGGCTCTTGCAATCAAATCTCGAATAGCAGCACCTCGACTTGTGTCAGCACACATGCTATAATCCCATAATAGCTCGTGATTGTTGTCAGGGTTCAACCATTGTAGCTGTATGTTCGATACAAGCACAGTTGCACTTAGAAACAGAACGGGTACACAGATGCAACTCTTGGCTGGCTAAGACACTCTGTTACCTCTCCAT